ACCTGCTAAAGCCGTATGTGGTGATTTCTTCTGGGACTCCTCAGTATCTCCCTTTGGCTGAATAGGTTCTTTCAGGCAGCAGAAGTGTTCCTAAGAGCACAGAAAGGTTAAACTGCCTTGGACCTTTTTAAAGAACACTGAGCTGAGATTTCCCAGGGTAGGATATGGTTGCCAGCAACAGATGTGCTCACAGCTGCCAACACCAAGGAGCTAATTGGTATGTTTTCTCCTTTCTTGAAAATGATAATTGACCCACTCAGGGAGGATAAAGGTAGAGCACAGTACGTTCTGAACACTTCCTGTAAGTTCAGCACATAACCTCCTCTTTACCTACCTTTTTCTTCTCTACTTTTCCAGCCGATAGCTCAGATAACTCCGATTTGGAAGACGACATCATCTTATCTTTGAATGAGTGAGGAGTGATCATCATGTGGATGCCCACTGAAGAAATTCTATTCCTGGCAGGCAGGAGACCAAATGAGCAGCGAATTCAAAACAAGCCTCCCTGACACCTCTTCTCCCTTTTCTCCCATCCCTGTCTCTATCCCTCTCCTAGGGATAGCTGTTTTTTGACAACCTATAGGCTTCAAGCTTGGAGGGTTTTGACTTAAGCAGAGAAACAGTTGTGCCCAGCAGTGGCCATTTAATAAAGAGATCGGGGGTTAGGCCCTTTTTCTGCCTTTTCCCCATTTCCTCCAGGATGGACAGATCTTTCCTTAAGGAAAAGCCCCACTTCTCTGGGGATATTTCACAATATATTTTCTTTGTATAAAGTTCTTTACTAAAGAACAAGAAATAGTTTTATATAAAAGCAAAAAAAAAAAAAAAATTGCAGGTGTTTATAGCAAAGAGGGTGTGAACTTATATCCACCGGGTACCTTGTCCCCTAAGCTTCATTTCCTTTGGGAGAAAGTGATGCCCAAAGATCAATATAAAGAGGCGTTTTTACACAAGTATTTAAAATGAAAAGGAAAATCGTGGTTTCTTAAATTGATAAGGATTAAGACTATTTTATTATAAATATAATATATGATTTTTTTAAAAAAAAAAGTTTTGTTGCCTCATGCTGTCAGGATGTTGGTGTTTTTTTCCTTGACTTGAGGTGCCTTCGTGCCAGAGCTGGGGAGGAAGGCAGACATTGACTGCTGTTTGCCATGTATATGCACACATTCATTCACCCACCCTTACAGAATGGCAGGCAGGAGCAAGTCCTGGCATTTTGGTCATTGTGTATTCTGGTTTTGTGGAGATGAGGGAACTTGTGATATAAGTTCACTCCCTCTGTTTTTCTTCGTGATTCAGTTTTTTTTTAATCTTTTTTTTTCTTCCCTTTCTCCTGTGTGGAAATTACAAATCAAAGGCCTTTTTCTTTAATGTAAAGTGTATTTATTTAAAAAAAATACAAAATAAACTACAAGTCTGTCTTTGTTTATGGCCTTTACCTATTCTCTTCTTTTCAGCAGTAGGTGGGTCCCTTTCATCCCAAAATAGACAGATTTCTTCAGTCCTCTAAGGACAGCAGCAATAGCAGTGTGGTAAAAATCTGTGGGCCCTCCCCCCAAGAACGTCATTGAGTCATTCTAGCCAGATCTGCTCTGCCGTTTCCATGCGGGATGGGGATCTGTCTTTTCAGATAGCTGCTTCTCAGGTTGGATGGAGTGTGAACTGGTCCCCTCACCCTTTCCATGCTTTGGCTTTGAGTAAGCAATAGATAGGCTGAAGCCGTAGCAGAGTTGGTGCTAGCCATTCCTGGGAGGTGGAAAGGAGAATAGGGCTCCTGGGAAAGGGAATTGTAGTTGGTGAATTCTGAAGCGATAGACAGCAAAGCTTTAGAGCCGCTGCCTGATCATTGGGGCCACTGTCAGTGTCCAGCTGCACAGGTGGGGACGTGGCAGAGGAGGAGCTAAGGGTGCCTTTGAAAAGGATGTTTGAAAAGAAGGAATAGGATTGGCCTTACCAGAAGATGGATGGAACTATTAAAAAAGGGTAATTCTTTCCCTTTCAACCATGGCTGCTTTGTTCTTAACAGACAAAGTAAAAGTTTGAAGAGATACTGAGGTAGTGGTCATATGGTGAAGTAGAGAGGGAAATGGTCTTAGAGCCAGGAAAAGACCTGGATTCAGTTTCTGACAAGGACACATCCTGGCTGACCCCAGGCGAGTCATTTAACTTATTAATGCATTAGGTAACTGTCTTAAGACTACCAATTGCAGAGAGGTGCCAGCTTGCTTTGTTAGAGAGAGGCGTTTCCTCCTCCAAGAATTCCCCATACTAATGAAATCATATGTCCAAACCTTTTCCCTATCCTTGAAGAGGTGATCATCACCACCCTGAATTCTATAGTGATTGCCACCAGTCCTAAGCATTTCTTGATTCTACTATAACAACAGCTTCTAGGCTCCTACCTCAACTCACTTATGTTGTGGGGGTGGTGATCCAAGAATGGGGGAACCTGCGGCCTCAAGGCCACATGTGGCACTCAAGTGCTTCTCTTTGACTGAATCCACACTTCACAGAACAGCTCCCCGTAATAAAAGGATTTATGTAAAACTTGGACTCAAGTCAAAAGGCCACACCCATGTGGCCTTGAGGTTGCAGATTCCCCACTCCTGGTTAGGGTTATGGGAAAAGGTTTTAAAGTTAAATGATAGTTCAGACAGGATATATTATCAGGCCCATGATTCCCAAGAGGATAGAAGAGCTGAGAAGTGCACTAGCTATATATGCCTAAAATAGGAGTTGGTTACTAACTCAACCTGGAGGGCACCTTATCCAACTTCTGTCCCTGATCAAAGGCAACATAAAAGTCATATTCCCGGTTTAGTCACTGGGTCAGTTAACATCTAGTAAATGTGCCAGGCACTGTATTAAGTGCAGGGGATACAAAGAAAGGTGAGACACTTAAGTTCCAGGAGTTAGGAAACTACAGAATGTGAGCCAGATCGTCTGCTGCCTGTTTGTATATAGTCAGGGAGCAAAGAATGGCTTTTGCATTTTTAAAGAAAGTTTTATTGAATTTAGGAGTCAGACTTGAGTTCTAGACTTGGCATTACCCCTAAATCAGTGTGTTACTTTGAGCAAATATCTTCCTCTCTCAGACTGTTTCCTCAGTTGCAAAACAAGGGGATTGGTGTATATGATTTCTAAGGTTCCTTCTACATCTAATTAAGTTCTGGGATTACAACTCTATGAAATCCTGTAAGGTTCCTTCAGCCAACAATAGGACTTAACTGTGTCTCTGAAATGTGGCTGGCTAACTGAAACTTGGAAACAGATCCCACGGGGATGGGAAATGAGAGGCAATGACTCCCATCAGGAAAGCTGGGTTTGGTTGACTTGGCTACAGCCCCCAGAGTTATACACACCAGGGAAGGGCTGAATAAACACCTTCCTACCTCTTCCTTAGGTTGTCGGAGCTACCAGAGACCTAAGGCCACCAGTCTAAACTACCCCAAAAAAGAATACATATTTGTAGATTCCATATTAGTAGTAAACTTCTTTTTAAAAAAATCTTGAGTTGACATTACAGATTTCTTTGTAGTAGCAAGATGGGCCTCTAGGGTTAGGTTCTAAAGATGGGCACTGGTAATAGCCAGGGTGCTGCCCAAAGGGACCACTGGTGGGACTAAGACATAGGTGTGGAAATAGGGGAAAGGGCTAAAGGGCTTTTGTTGATGAGCAGCTGAGAAGCATGGCAGGTACTACTCTGACCCTGGGAAGAAAGAGAATGGCTGACTTCAGTTCATTAGGATCTGACCCCCGTGCTGGGGAAGCACTACTCTGGGAACCAAGCTCTTTAAGGAAATGCATCAACCAAATTCCATGTCACTCTCTAGCTTGGTAAACTTTTCCTTGCATCGCCTGGAGGTACTAACCACGTCTTGTCTGTAGGTCATCTTTGTGCTTCTGGTCCTAAGCCTGGGCTTCAGGCATTGTTTGAGAATGTTACTCCATTGTAGGGTGGCCTTAACCACCTTAGGGGAGATTTTATGTGCGTTTGCTCCTGACCAAAAAGATGGGGGCAAAACCACATCCCTGCTCAGAGTCTCAGTTTACTTATCTAGTAAGATGCCTAAAGACCCAGCTAGCTCTAACAATCCATGAGTCTGGTCAAACTCTTATCTCTCCCCAAGAATTAAAGGATCACGTGGGCCACAGCAGTCTAGCACATGGCCTTATTTTTGAGTCCCAGCTGAAAGCTCAGGATTCCATCTTGCCTGCCTGCTCTTGGTGCTCCTCAATTCTCTGCTAACTATAGCTGCTTCCTAGAGGAGAGGAAAGGGTTCTCTAAAGCTGTCAAAAACAGGGAAATTCTGAAACCTGAAATTCCATGGTTATTCCTGAAAATGCCCTTGGAGTCAGTTTCCTTCTTGAGAGTCACTCCTGCAAGACAGGCCTTAACAAGGAACCTGTTTCCTGGTTACCTGAGATAAGTTTCACTTCAAGTTCATTGAAACGAATTCGATGGCCAGAGTACATATCCTTTCCAACTTAAAAAAAAAGGACTTCAGAGCCTCCTCCATTGGAGCTTTCATCTTCTTCCTCAGTGGTTAAGTACTCACTTTGTAAAGAGTTCTAAGATGAGTTGGCTAGGCAGTGGAAGTCTAATGTATCTGGGCTCTGTTCTAAGGCAATTGTTTCCATGGCTCCGAGGTAGCCCCTCTATCATGATGCCCTTTTGCCCCAATGTTAACTTTTTAGCCTAGATGAGTCTTTGGTGCTTTTCAGGACTTTTCAAAGATGGTGACATGTTGGGGAAGCTTGCATTCTAAAAGGCTTTTTTATCCACTAACCTCATTTCAAATAGCTGCAGATCATAATCCTGACCCTCCAATTTGTCCACTAATTTTTTTAGGTCCAGCACCCAGCAAAATGTGTCTCATATATAGTACATGCTTAGTAAATGTGGAACTTAACTGAGGACAAGCCCATCTGCAAGTCTGAGGCAGGTGCTACACTGAGCCTTTTGGTGGTGAAGAATTGAGAGGGAGGCCATGAGCTGCTTTCAAGAGAATATTTAATCACAGACTTACTGACTAAAAAGTTCAGATATCCCCCCTCCCAGTCATTGATTGCTCAGTTCCTGCTGCCTCAGGTCTGGAGTAAAAGTTGCCAGAAGGCAGGTGTTTGTGTGTCTTGGTGTTTGGTACATGGCTCAGGTACCCTGCAGGTCTATTAGTGTTGCCAGTTGACTTGGTTAGTTTCAGTTATGGTTCAGTCCTACACAATGGAAAGTTTACTAAATGCTTGCTTCCCAATGGCTCCAGAATTGCTAGAGGTTTGAGCTAGAACTTAAGATACTTTCCATCCCCCTGTACTCTTTACCCCTGGGAAAACCTGCACCTCCGTAGCTCAGCAACTCGGGAGGGGTTTTAAGCTCCATCCTCCCTGCTCTATCTGTGGCTTAGCAGAAGCTTACTGTAAGCCTGGCAAGTCTTTGGCCAGACAAGCAAATGGATACACAAACTGATTTTAAAAGTTTTTTGCTTTTCCCCTGGACCTGTAGCTCAAGAATTCCTTGGGAAGGTTTGCTAATCCCCGCAGTTCACACCCCCTTACATAAACCAAACAGCTACATTCTGATTCCACAGCCCAGTCTGCCCCCAAAGCAAAAGTAACCAAGGATGCTGATATGTCCTCATGTTGTTCTAGTTTGAAAGGTAGCCTGAACATGACAATATGCCACCTGAAGAACTCTCTCCCTACTTCCCCCAGGCACAGATGACAGGAGAATAAGTGTGTCACCACCAGCTTTTGAGGGTTGCTAACATTTCTACGTAAAAAGCATCACCTGCTTTCTTCGAGGTCGTGAAATGAGGCAGCTTATACAACATCTGAAAGTACATCAGAATGACAGCCGCATTCTCTTAAAGCAGACTAGATAGGGGAAGGAGCAGCAGCTTATTGTGTTAGTGGTTAAGACACACCCAGGTCTTTGTAAATGTTCTAGGGAGAAGGGCCCAGAGTATACAGGTTTTCCTGTAGACAAGATAAATAAGTTTCAGTGCTGGATTCTGCATGCTCTTAAGCTAGTCATGATACCTAGAAGAGAGTGTGTGTGTGTGTGTGTGTGTGTGTGTGTGTGTGAAAAGGATATCTGTGCAAGTAGGGGGAAAACCCTAGAGGGCAAGGGAAGTGCCACATGCTCCATTATTTTAAAGGGGACTTCATTAAACCAGTACACTGCACAGGGTTAAAAATTGATCCTTGGACAAAGGCTTTACTGACAACTTTCCATACAGTTAGTTAAAAAATAAAATACAGAACACACTGGAAAGTGTTTCATACATTAGAAATCAATAAAATGGGAATACCTTCAAATGGGCATTAAAAAAAAACTGAGTTTTGGTGGAGGGGGGCTTTGGCCTTCACCAAACCAACCATAATAACTGGGCAGAAAAGCCAACCCAAGAGCAGAATTGGCTTTAAAAATAACTGTTTTCATGACACAAAGAAAACACAAGATTGGGAAAAGCCAGGTTTTGGCTAGGCAGTGTCTCTTACTATAACTATCACCATATGCTCTTCTTCTAACTTCCCCAATGTCCTTAGAGCAGACTGGAGGTACTGCTGGGAGAATTCACAGGGAGGGAAGGCATAGAGCATGCCTGTGTTGTCTCTGCCCTTGGTCCCTCCCACTGGCAAGCTGATCACCCCAGCAGCCTGCTTCTGTTTCAAGTATGAGACCAGATTCCTGAGAAGCCTCCGCTGCAAACCTGGCTCCACAGTGTGGGTCCCCTCTGCTCCAGGCCCTCCTGGAGAAGCTTGAGTGGCCAGAAGCACCACATAACCATTGGGGCTTCCCTGCTTGATTCTCCGAGTGACCTCATCCAGTTTGGGCTGGTCAAGTCGAAGTCTTTGGGCAATCTTGAGCTGGGTCAGCTTGCTCCCTGAAGCGTGGTCTTTGAGGAGGCCACTGATCACTCCCAGGTCCCCCTCTAGAATGTGCATACAAGTGGGGAAGCAACTATTTTTCAACACCAGAAGCCCATTCCAGCCCAGCTGTAGGGTCTGAGCATACTCAGACAGACTCTTTAGCTTTTTGGTCTCGGGTTTTGGCTCTTCGATGGGTTTCGACTCTAGCTCGCTGGTTCGATGATTGCGTTCGCTGTCTCTCTTTTTCACCTGGTGAGAGTCTGGACCTCTCTCTTCTGCCCCATGTCGGTTGTTGGGCAGGGAATTGCTCGGCTCCTTCTCTGCTCCTGACTCACTATTATGGTTCTCTCTTCGGAGCCTCTCTGGGCTTCGATCTGAGGGCAGCCCACTGACTTTGGTTCTGCCTCTCTCCTCGTAAGGTGAGTGGGTAGTCCGGCCATGATCACTGGATAAGCTCCTCCTCTTTCGCCTTTCTTCCCAGGGCTTAGACAGGCCTCGGTCCCCATCACTGCCCCATCTCTCCCCACTGCGGCTGCGCACAGAACGGCTGTAGCTTTCCAAGCTGTTTCTCCGGTCTGTGCTTTTGGAGGGACTGGCCCAGTCACTCTCCACAAAGCTTCTATCCCGGTCTGAATAGAGGAGATGGGGGGGAGTCCTGTCTCGGACCCTCAAGTCAGCCTCCAGATTTCGGTGCCTGGTGTACCCCTCAGGGAGTAACTCATAATGCACCGGAAGTGGTGTAGCCTGGCACTGTTGGGGATATCTGGTTTCCTCAGCTTTGGCAAAATCCACCCTGAGCCTCCTCTCTGGCCCCCCCAAAGGAAAGCCCCTCATCTGGACACAGGCAGCCTGGGCTGCATCCAAGCTTTCATACTGGATATAGGCAAAGCTGTCTCCTTTGACATGGTCAATAGTTCGAATGCTTCCAAAGCGGTCAAACTCCCGGGCCAGGGCAGCCAAAGAGGTATTGGGTCCCAGGCCTCCCACCCACAGCCGAGTGGTGGGGTTGGCTTTGCCATAGCCAATCTTAATAGGGTTGCGCCCCACCACCCTCCCTGACATGGCCACCTTGGCCCGGTGAGCCATGTCTAGGTTCTGGAACTTGAGGAAGGCATAAGCTCCCCCTTGGCCCCTGGCGGGCCTTTTGATCACCACCTCCTCAATGATACCGTATTTCTCGAAGGCCCTCCTCAGCTCCACCTCGGACACGCTGTGATCCAGGTTGCCAATAAACAGGTTGCGGGTGGCCCGCTGGTCGTCCTCGGGCATCAGGTCCTCCTCACACACAGCCGGGTAGCCGTAGGGCCGGCCTCGATCATCATACAGGCCGTAGTAGTCCAGGGCCCGGTCCCGGGAGAGGCCCACAGCTGCGGCTGCCGCAGCAGCGTCCAGGGCAAAGGCAGCAGCTGCGGCCGCGTGCCGGGCCCTGGGCTCCCGGAGCGGGGGCGCACCCACGGGGGACAGGGAGCGCTGCTTGTACTGGTAGCCGCCGTGCAGGGGCAGGTAGCCCAGGGGGTCGGCGGGGGGAGGGGGCCCGGGCGGCGGCGTGGTGGCGGCGGCCCCGGCGCTGCTGCTGCTGCTTCGCCGGCTGCTGCTGCTGCTGCCCCGCAGGTACACGGGCTCCACCTTGAGCGGGCGGTCGTAGAGCAGGAGCTGGCGCGCGCGGGCGTGGTGCCGGGCATCGCGGGCATCCTGCGGGTGTCGGAAGTTCACGTAGGCCACCCTGCCCAGCTCGGGGGTGTGCGACAGGCGCAGGCTGATCTCGCCGAAGCGCTTGAACTGGTGGAAGAGGCGGTCCTCCAGGTGCTCGGCCGGCAGCGCGGGGCTCAGGCTGCTGATGAGCAGCGTCTTGTACTCGGGCGGCGGCGGCGGCGGGGCGGGCGCGGGCGGCGGCGGCGGGGCGGGCGCGGGCACGGGCGGCTCGGGGAGCGGCGGCAGCAACAGGAGCGGGGACGCCCCGGGGGACGAGGCGGATGCGGAGCCGGACTCGCCGCCGGCTTTGGCGCGGCCGCCGCCGCCGCCGCCGCCGCCCGAGCGGCCACCGCCGCCGCCCCCCGCGCGGTGGTTGGAGTCCCCGGAGCCTCGGCCGTCGCGGTGGCTGCTGCTGCCGCTGCCGCCGCGGGGCTTGTCGCGGGCGCGGGCCGGGGCCTGGTGCTTGGCGGGGCCGGAGCCGGAGCCGGAGCCGGAGCCGGAGCTCTTGTGCGCGGCCCGCCGGCTCCCGCCGCCGCCGCCGCTCGAGTCGGGCTCCCCGCGCTCCCGCTCGCGCTCCCCGCGTTCGCCGCGTTCCCGCTCCCCGCGCTCGCCCCGCTCCCGCTCCCCGCGCTCCCGATCCCGATCCCGTTCCCGCTCCCGCTCCCGGGGCCGCTTCGCCGACGATGACGACGACGACGCCCCGCGGGCCCCCGGGCTCGAGTCGCGCTCGCTCTGCCGCTTCATGGCGCCGAGGCCGGCCGGGCCTGGCCGGGGCCCCTCCCTCACAGCGCGACCGGGCAGCGGCGCGGGGGCGGCGGCGGCGGGGCCGGGGCCGGAGCCGGAGCAGGAGGAGGAGGCAGCGCCCCCCGGGCCGCCATCTTGGACAAAAGGACTGAGCGCGGCGGCCGCGAAAAGGCGGGGGAGGAAAAGCGCAGGGAGGAAGGGGAGGGGACAGGGACAGGGACAGCGCGCGGCTGCGTCATCAAGGCGCGCGGCTCGGCGGCCGGGCGCACGTCCGATGGGAGAGCCCTCCGCCTCTCCGTCACTTCCCCCCCAGCCTTCCCGGGCTCTGACTCCATTCGCCGTCCGATTGGATCGTGGGCTTCAACGCCACCTGTCGGCCAGCGGGTGAAACAAGCAGCCTGCTCTGGCTTCGGCGTTGTCAGTCACCTTGGCAGCGGGTGAGCCCTGGAGGGACGCGCTCTCCGCAGAAGATGCGCTGCTCTGGCACTTCGCCTGGCCAGCTAATAGCTACCTACACTTACAGAGTTTTGAGGTTTGCAGAGTGCTTTACCAGTCTGAGCCTCTGAACAACACTGGACTTGTTCAGTCGTGCCCGACTCTTAGTGACGCCGTTGAGGGGTTTTCTTGGCAAAGATACAAAGTGGTCTGCCATTTCCTTCTCCGGCTCATTTTACAGATAAGGAAACTGAGGCGAACAGGGTTAAGTGACTTGACCGGGGTTACACAGTGTCTGAAGTCGGATTTGAACTTAGATCTTCCTGACTCCAGGCCCAGCTGCTTCCGTTTTACACTGTGATATTTGAGGGTCGACCCTGTAATCCCCCTCCTCTTCAGTTCCTGGAGGGGCTGGAATTCCCCACCTCTCCTCAGACTCTTCTCTTACCTAGGACCACAGGATTAAGACGTGGAAGGGATCATGGCATTGAACAGGAAGGGAAAGTAGCTTTTGGAGAAGGAAGGTACTTTATTCTCAAGGTCGCACAGGTAGGAAATAACCAAATGGGGATCGGATCCCTAATCCAGGGAGCCTTACACGCTTCCTAAGATAAAGCCCTGAGGATAGCCAGTGTGCAGAGATTCAAGGAGCTGTCCCATGCTGAGCCTCAGACGCTGGTCACTCCAGTCACTTACTTGTTAGGGATTCCCAGAGGGGAGGGAGGGACTGGTCATAATGCCTGGAGTAAGAAGTGGATTCTCAAGGTCCCCCTCTCCCTTAGAGGGACCACTTGGGAAGTTCTCACATCTGAGCTGTAGGATAGGAATAACCAGTTCATACTGAGGGGACCAGAAATTTTAGCTTTTACCTTTGAGAGCAATGTGTTTAGGGAAGGGGACTTTTACTTCCTACTCTCTCTTCTGGTTGCTCAAGGGCTCACCTAGAGCCATACCTAGTGTGACAGAAGGACTTGATGCTGCAATGAGATGACTGGGGGGAGGGCATGATGTGAATGACCAAGTCTGAAGAGAAAAGTGCCCAAGGATTCCTTATTGCCTGGTGAGTGTTTTAGAGGGTTATGATCTCCAAGAATTGTGGAATTCAGCTGAAAACAAAGGGACCATAGAAGGAAAATGAGGTTAGTAAGGACTTCCCCTACATCTAGGTAGCTGTATGACTGGAAGAGGCATTGAGACCCATACTTACTGGATGTTGGGATTTCCACTCTCCTATTGGGTCTTACTATCACCACCCATTAATACCTCCATCCCACATTTGACCTGGTGAGACCTGTCATTTTGCTCTCCTGCAGAAGACTCATCTCTTCCTATATGCTAATGGCCACAACTCTTATTTCTGGACAGCTTCACATAGAGGGATGATGATCCAGCTCCAATGCTCTCCAACATCTGAAGACTGGAGGATACAACTAAGCCCAGGTTTACTTCAAGAGACAGTCATAAAATCCTGGCATTTTTGGACATCATCTAGGCCAATCTGTTTATTTGATAGAAGTGGACACTGAAGCCAAGAGAGGTTAAGTGATCTGCTTCTCACACACACAGCGCAGACAAAATTTCCACCCAATTCCTTTGACTTTTTTTTTTTTCAAATTCGTTGTTAGCCTATGAGATCTTCCCGACAGGTATCATAGAGCTAATGAGACAATAGATGAGGTTTGTGCTTTGAAAAGCATTAAAGTGTTAGAGCTAGGCCAAAGGTAGGCTGTACAATTTAAGATCATCAAGCACGTTTATTTTGTTATTTGGTCCTCTGCTTTATAAAAAGCCTGAACCTATGAGATAATGGCAGCCATGCTCACATTTTATAAATGTTAATGGGCATAACCAAGGTCATACATGTGAGTTGAGCTTGCTCTCTGAGCCAGTACTGCCAACAAGGCATATAGTGATAATTCCTACATTTTTTTTTTTTGAGGGGGAGGATGGCCTCAAAGGGACAGTGTTGGATTTTGAGAATACTAAGGTTGCACTGAGGACAGCTCAGGGACAGGATATGAGTTGACTGAGGATTTCTAACAGCTATGGGTACCTCGAAGGCAATGAACTCCATCCCTTCCCATCAGCTGGTGTACCTGAAGAGACAGTTTCCTGAGAAAACAGAAAACTGGAGCCATCTAAGATGGGTGAACTGATGGAGACTATGATGGTGAGGTTTTCTGCACTACTAGGTAAGTTATTAAGAGCAAGAAAAAGAGGTGGCATGGAAGGCCAGAATAGCCTTTCCCCCCACCATAAGATGAGGGGCTTGTTTTAGATCTCCAAAACTCTTACAGCTCCAGAATGCTGCCACTCCACTTTCTCCTCTGCATGCTTAGGGTCAGAGGGCAAGCTTCAGGTTCAGACCCTGGCTTAGGTTGGGGAGAATACCACTTGCTCCACAGGGCTGCTGTGAGAGTCAAATGAGAAGAACCAGTGGATTTGGAATTCGTGAGGCATGGCTGTTAAACATTAATAAACATTAATCTTGTGCCAGGCTCGTCAGGTCCCAATGCTTGTTATTTAGTCTTGTGGTTCAGTCATGCCCAACTCTTCATGACTAATGTTGGGGTTTTCTTGGCAAAGATACTGGCCATTTCCTTCTCCAGTTTTATAGATGAGGAAACTGAGGCAAATAGGGTCAATTGACTTACCCAGGGTCACACAGCTAGTGTCTGAGGCCAACTTTGAACTCAGGTCTTCCTGACTCCTGGTCTGGCCACTCTATCCACTGCACCACAAGGCTACAAACCTATCATTTGCCTCATTTGTACAGAGGTTATACCAAGATTCCCTTGAAAGTGGTGCTTTTTGCCCACTTTATTAAAAACAGTTGTCTATGTACTACAGTGGGAGACAGGATAGTGGGGAAGATAGTGGAGGAAAGAGGTACCCCAAATTGCAGAGATCACTTCCTGTCCCTTACACCATGTGCATATATGGTAGGAAATGTTACTAAAGCTAGTAACGGCCTAGAGATTTCTTTTAAGGGCTCAACTCAAGCCAGTTGGAAACAATTTTCTGACTGATCCTTAGCTTCAGCTTAACAAATTTGTTACAATGGGAGATTATGTGAGAAAAGTGCATATGGCTTAATATAACCTGTTTCTGCTTCCGGGAATCCCTGGTGGAATAGTGCTTCCTGCCAGTTGGCGATACACTCAAGGTTGAACAACCAATTTGTCCCAAAACCCTCTCTCAACCTAAATTCCCAAGCACTGGGAGAACATAGAATAGAAAGCAAAGATGATTCACCTTATCACAATGGTCACAAACCCCAAATCTGCCCACCACTTCCCCTAGGAAACAAGTAACTCTCTGAAGGAGTAGAACAAAGGAGCAGATATCAGTAACTTATAAAAAAGAAAACCTTCAACATTTCTCTTTCAGTCTTTTTGTTAATAGTATCAGTAATGGAGTTTTATCCCTTAGTGGCTGTACTGTCTGGGGCTGAGCCCTGGAAGGTATGGAAATCTTGGCACCAGAAGACCTTCAAGTGCATAAAAGAGAGCCAGAGGGGGGTCTCTTTCAGGAGAGAAAATGAAGCTATACAACATGGAATACAGCTTGGACTGGCTCACTCACAGACTGGCCATGAACCAATTTGGTGACATGACCACAGAAGAATTCACGGAAAAGAATCTGGACTACAGATCATCTAGAAAGAAAACCCCAAGTGTAATATCCATGCCACCCAAGCTTGTGGAGGTTTTCAGACCAGCAGACTTGAGAGAACATGGCTACATCCTACCATATTCTTACCTGTGAATGAGCATAGCCTGGTGGACTGAAGTTGGAAGCAGGGAAACATGGGTTTAGGATGGGGGTTCTCAGTACATCAAGGAGAATGAGGGCATTGATTCTGAAGATTCCTACTCTTACATGGCCAAGAAAAGAATCTAAGGACGAGGCAGAATTATGTTGCCAATGACACTGGCTTTGCTAACATTCCCTTCAAGTGCTGAGAAACCCTCCAAGATGCTGTTTGTGGGACCCATCTCTGTGGCCATCAATGCTGGACCTGATTGCTTCTGACTTCTATAGCTCAGGGCCTTACTAAATGACTCATACTGCTATGGGTCACCAGTCTTGGTGGGTATAGCTTTGAAGATGAGGTCAAGTCCAACAAATCTTGGATTTGCAAGAACAGCTGGATTGAGAATTGGGGGAATGGCGGTTATATGCACATGGCTGAAGACCCCAACTGTGGTATTCTGCTCAGGCCAGCCATCCTCTGATGTGAGCAGTGAAACTATGTGAGGAGTCAGTGACACATTTTTTAGAACCTTCCTTATACAAGTCCTAAAACTCCTATGGAACTATGGCTTTTTTTGTGCTGTATTGTCAGAACAGAAGGAGATCATTTCCAATGCTAGCTCATAGTGGACTCACAAGACAAAGACTTTAGTCCTGTTGTGTCTTACATATGACTCAATTAATTTTGTAATCTTAAAGAAAATACACAGGTCTGATTTTTAATCTCTAATGCACCCATGGAGTATATGGGTCTACATATAGAGTGAAAGGGCAGAGTGATCCTGGACATTAAGAAACTTGCAGGCAGG